AGGAAGGAAGGAAGGAAGGAAGGAAGGAAGGACATGACCTGAAGTCTCACCTGATTTACAGAGCTGTAGATGGCCTCTCTGTTACTGCAGTCTACGACAAACGCATGCACGGTGGCCCCCAGTTTTCGGCATTGGGCTGCAGTTTCCTCAACACCACGCTGTGATTGGGAAAAACAAATTCAGAAAAGAGTGGGGGAGAAAGCACTGGAGAAGAAAATTTTTAAAAGGTTAACATTCATATCCCATCTGCCTCCTTATTTGTAAGAAAACTGCGTGACAGAGACTAATTTGCAGTGAGATTAGACCTGGCTTCTCTGCCAGGCAACGCTCATGTGAACGCCAAAGCAACAAAACAGAACAAATAACAAAAAAAAAAAAAGTCCCTTCGTGTTTTTCCAGCTTTTCATCTTGATTTTGGAGGTTCTCCAGTAGGCATTTTCTCTAAAGCAGGCTACTTTTGTAGCTTAAAGAACATTCTTGAAAGGTGTTGCTCTTTGTGGTATCATGGAAGATATTTGAGTATGGAGAACAAAGGAAAACTCAACGATCATTATAATTTCACACACATTTGTTGAGCAACCAACTATGTAATAGACGGGAAAGTGTTAAGCAACCTCAAACTCCTGGGCTCAAGCGATCCTCCTGCCTCAGCCTCCCGAGTAGCTGGGACTACAGGCATGCGCCACCATGCCCGGTTGATTTTTTTCTATATATTTTTAGTCGGCCAATTAATTTCTTTTTATTTTTAGTAGAGTCAGGGGGTCTCGATCTTGCTCAGGCTGGGTTTGAACTCCCGACCTTGAGCAATCCTCCTGCCTCGGCCTCCCGTAAAAAAGCTTCAGTCTTATAACAGAGCTAGAGCACTGGAAAATGTCATGCTCTGTCTCTTCATAAGCGAGACGCTTGCTTTAGCCCCAGCTGCAGTGTGTGCTGTTCACTCCACTTATCTCTGTGTTCCTGAAGCAACAGTTTAGATTGAATGAGGGCCAAACTGCTAATGTTTAACCGTAACATTCAAGGATTCAAAGAGAATTTGGAAGGTTGGGTTGCCCATCTCTCAGGTAGAATCTTTTTCTTTTTGAGACAGAGTCTCACTGTGTTGCCCAGGCTAGAGTGAGTGCCGTGGCATCAGCCTAGCTCCGCGCCAACAGCAACCTCACAACTCTGGCTCAAGCGATCCTCCCTGGCGGCCTCAGCTCCCGATACTGGGACTACAGGGCAAAGCGCCACCGCGATGCCTGGGCTCATTTTTTTCCTAGTTTTTAGTAGAGACCGGGGTCTCTCTCTTGCTCAAGGCCTCGGTCTTGAGCCCCTGACCCTCAAGGACTCCTCCTGCCTCGGCCTCCCCAGAGTGCTAGATTACGGCGTGGGAGCCACCATGGCCGTGCTCTGATCTTTTTAGACAACCGTTGGCACGCAACATGGAGCACAAAATGGACTGCGCTTAGGTCCTCAGTTAAGGTTCAAGCTTCCCTTTTGTCTCCCAACTTGAATGCATCATAGAAGGCTACTCCATGGAATTGATCAAACTTTGAAAAAGGAAAATACATGGGCCGGGTGCAGGTGCGCTCACGCCCTGGTATGCCTCACGCACACGTGCTGGGCAGCCGAGGGGGGAGGATCCCTCAAGGTCAGGAGTTAAAAAACCAGCCTGCGCAAGAGCGACGACCTCCGTCTCTACCTATAAATAGAAACAATTAATTGGCCAACTATATCTATACGAAAAAATGAGCCGGGCGTGTTGCGGTGGCATCGCCTGTAGCCCAGCTACTCCGGTGGCTCGAGGCAGGAGGAGGTCGCTTGGAGCCCAGGAGTTTGAGGTTGCTGGTGAGGCGAGGCCTGAGGCGCCACGGGCCACTCACTCTGAGCCTGGCAACACAGTGAGACTCCTGCTGCTCAAAAAAAAAGAAAAA